GTTCGATCCCGGCTGTGCACCAATGGACTTTCTTTCTATGTGCGCATTTAACAATCGCTCAAACGGTGAAAGAAAACAAAAAAAAAAACAAAAAAAAAAAAGGGGGGGAAAAAGAGGCCAAGAAAACAAGAGGAAACCGGCCTTAGACCCAAAAAGTCGACCGCGTGTGTCAGGCACAGGATGGATGCTGATCACCTACTTGCCTATTAGATTGACAAATGATCATGAAACAGATACAGAAATCTGAGGCCCACACCTCAAAAGTTTGTAGAGCCACTCATTTATTTATTTTTCCAATTTATTAAAGCCAATAATTTCTATTCACTCGTAAAAAACAGTTTACTTGGTTACTAACAACTTTGCTAATAATGCATTACCTACCTATATTGATTAGTTATTAAAGTGTCTGCCTTAGGATGTACTTATAAACTAACCTCTCGAAAAGAGTACACATGACACAATGTATGAAAATAATTAATTATTAAACTGCATAATATATTAACGGACGTTTTTAATTGTGCATTGAGTGAACTGACAAAAGGTATGCTTCAAGTCAGTTTATCATCAACTGTTTAAGGTTCGATTGGTTTATTCTATGTGTATGTATTGATTTGTATGTGATGTACCGCATTGGAGTAATCTGAAAGTGTAACTTATTTTGCTAAAAAAAAGCGAAAAACCTCCGTCGCACTCAGACTGTATATTTATGTCAATGTTATAATAAAATCAATAAATATCAATATTGGGCATGTTGAGTGTCCATTGTGCTAAAGAAAATATTCGTGAATTATCATTTTAGAAACGACAAACGAAGGTTATAGGAATTAAAATCTGAGATCCGAGCGTCATAAGCCTATGATTACGTCAATCGGGAACGACGTCACTCAATAGACACGGATTTATGTTGAAATTGTTTACACTTATTGAGGTAAAATTATTTTAGCTTCAAAATTCTCTGTCGAAGAGTGAAAGCGTATTTAGTGTATGTACTGGGTGGGGAAAAAAAAAAAAAAAAAAAAAAAAAAAAAAAAAAAAAAAAAAAAAAAAAAAGGGAGAAAAAAAAAAAAAAAAAAAAAGGAAAAGAAAAAAAAAAAAAAAAAGAAAAAAAAGCAAAAGAAAGGGAAATGAAAGGGAATAAAAAAAAAAATAAGGGGGGGGGGGGGGAGGGAAAAAAAGGGGGGCCGTTTTATAGAGGAGAAGGGGGAGAGAAAAAGCCAAGGGGGGTTTTAACCAGTAACCCGTGTAGATTACATTTGAGCCGATGTGTGCCTTCAAGGTAACACACGTATAGTGGGAACACAACGGGGAAATTTAATTAATCAGGCCGGCATTGCAACGTTTGCAATCAGAATGTTGCTACAATTGAGATCATATGACCTAACAATATCAATTATTTTGTTTAGTAGTTGTTAAACGCGACTTCGTCCACGCTTTATCGTTTAACCTACCGGTTAAGCATGGACTTTTTAAGTTACTTTATACGTTACCTTTATATTTATATACTATTTTTTATAGGCGTTGGCCACTAGGCTTCAGCGTGCGACTCTCGGTAAAGGAATCCCTGATATTGTAGGTTCTATCCCCGGCTATGCAACAATGGACTATCTTTCTATGTGTGCATTTAACTTTCGCACGAACGGTGAAGAAAAACATCGTGTGGAAACCGGCTTGCCTTAGATCCAAAAAGTCGACGGCGTGTGTCAGGCAGAAGGCTGATACTTGCCTATTTGCGATTGACAAATGATTTTGAAACAGATACAGAAAACTAAAGCCCAGACCGAAAAAGCTTTAGTTTTAATGACGTCACATCCGCTAATTTATTAAGTAATGAAATGTCATCCCTTGTGGTTACAAACACTAGTTTACATTTCACAGTTTTTGAGCCGTGATGTCATGCATGCTTTCAACAATGCCTTTCATTGTCACCATTGAAGTTATGTTAATTTTTAGGGGGGGGGGGGGGGGGGGGGGGGGGGGGGGGGGGGGGGGGGGGGGGGGGGGGGGGGGGGGGGGGGTTTTTTTTTTTACCCCCGGGGGGGGGGGGGGGGGGGGGGGGGGGGGGGGGGGGGGGGGGGGGGGGGGGGGGGGGGGGGGGGGGGGGGGGGGGGGGGGGGGGGGGGGGGGGGGGGGGAAAGGGGGGGGGGTTTTTTTGGGGGGGGGGGGGGGGGCCCTCCCCCCCGGCGCGCGGGTTTTTTTTTTTTTTTTTTTAATTATTTTTTTTTTTTTTTTTAAAAGGGGGGGGGGGGGGGGGGGGGGGGGGGCTTTGAAAAGGGGGGGGGGGGGGGGGGGGGGGGGGGGGGGGGGGGAGGAAAAGGGGGAAAAAAAAAAAAAAAAAATTTTTTTTTTTTTAAAAAGGGGGAAAAACACGGGGGGGTTTTTTTTTTTTTTTTTTTTTTTTAAAAAAAAACAAAAAAAAAAAGGCCTCTCCCCCCCTTTTTTTTCTTTTTTCGGGGAAAGGGGGGGGGGGTTTTGCCGCGGGGGGGGGGGTTTCCTCTTCTTGGGGCCCTTTTAAATTTTGGTCGGGGGTTGGGGGGCGTTAACGCGCGTTACATGTGAACATAGCCTTAATGTTTCTAGCATTAAGTGAATATTCACTAATGATAGAACTCACAGACACACATTTGTATGAATGTTCTTTACCGAAATTTTAATACAAAGGTTGGTATCATCAACAAAATATATTGCAACTTGAGCTTATCGCTATAATAAATATCCGTGTCTAAACATATTCTTGTCTTTAAAATGTGTTTTTGTTTTTTCTTATTACGTAGTAATGAACAGACGGATGATGAAGGATTGGAAAATGGTGGCGAGGATGAGAGACACGTGGAAGAATTTGTAGGAGGCCTTCCCTCAGTCGGAGCTCGAATACTAATGTTAGTATTGAAAGCTATTTTTATTTTTTATTTATTTTATTTAATGAACAGACACCTTAATGCCAGAATGTTGTCTTCCCAGAAAACCAGATTTTCATCCTGAACCTACTTAGAATTTTGCATTCACATTTAAACTTGTGGAAATTCATTTTTGAGCATTTAAAAAACACGTGCAAATAATAACTGTAGAACCATATTCAACGTGAAGGATATGGAACAAGCAAATTCTATTTGGAGTGAAGCCGGCTTCGCAGTGACCCAGAATACATAATACCTCAATACAGCTGTTCGTATTCTTATAGAGGCGTAAACGTTCGAGATTGGAAGATTACCAAGGGGATTTAGAATTCCAGTTATTCTTTCATTAATTTATTAATTGCTTTTTATTATACGACTAAATAAAATATGATACTATAATTGTCTTACATTACTAATCAACTAAATATATTAAATTAAACGGAGTCAGTAATTAAGTAGCAGCTTCTTTCATAAAATATTTTCTAAGTAACAATTGTACTCAGTACACTAAAAATAAAAAATAAATCAGTGACTACCTTTTTAGGTCTGGGCCTCATATTTCTGTATCTATGTAATGATTAATTATCAATCTAATAGCCAAGTAGTTGATCAGCCTCCTGTGCCTGACCCACCCCATCGACTTTTTGTGTCTAAGGCAAGCCGGTTTCCTGACGATGTTTTCCTTCACCGTTCGAGCGAATGTTAAATGCGCACATAGAAAGAGTCCATTGGTGCACAGCCGGGGGTCGAATCTCAAGGATGAGGATCGCACGCTTAAGCTAGTAGTCCAACATTGCTATTTACACTAGTTTCACTTCTGTATTTTACGTCATTTTTTTTGTTGTGGAAGAGCTGGGAACCCTGACACAGGTATTTTTTACTTAAAGGGGTCTTTTTACACATTGTAATGCATATGAACTTATAATGAATAAACACATTTTTATTTATAGTTTCATTGATGTATTTCTTTATCTATTCGGTAAATCGATTTAAGTATATCGTAAATTTTTGGTTCGATATTTTTTCTACCCCATCTCATATAGAAATTTCATTTCGACTGGGCGGGGCTTGACCACTCTTAAATTGCAACACATTTAAAACAGCTAACAGGTTTCCGTTTCCCAAACGTTAAATATCTTGTAAAAAATTACGAGCAACTGTAATATAATTTTCATAATGAAGTAATGAAATTCTGTTTCAGCGTAAAACCTTCAGTGTGAGATTAAATAAAACTACAAAGCCTACTTTCAAAACAAAGTATGAACAGGTGTAACGCGTAGGTGCTATTGTAACCCACAAACACTTTTTCTCGCTACCGTACATAAATATGATGTTTTAAAATAGAAAAGCGATACATATATATTATATATTATCTTTGGTTAACATATAAAATTAATTACCAGGCACAGGAGAGTGATCACCTACTAGCCTACTACATTGACAAATGATCATGAAACAGATACAGAAATCTGAGGCCCTGACCTTCACGTTTTTGCTCCACTGATTATTATTATTTATTTATATATAAAGGAAAATGACTACAATAATATTACTTCACGAGAGCTTTTCACCAATCGTGGTCTCGTCGAGTAATGTATAATTAATAAACTCCACATTTACACCTGTTAAAGAATTACAATGAAATCAAAACAATTCTACATTTCAATACATGTACAATGTACTTTTACTGTTACTTGGCCGGGGCGATGATTTCATTATAATAATGTACGCAAAACGATACTCTTTCAACTAAAGATTATATACTTTAAAGATTGTATAAATTGACTATGGATATTTCCTTCAGCCGGCCGTAACTCAATCGCTTGTGTTCGCACACATATACAGCTGTTGCCACGTCCTATTAGTACTTAGTTATGTAGGCTTTGATAACGCCTACATTCTAGTCTATGAGAGTAATAAAATATTACCCTACCAATAAATGATTTCATACGAATTTTTTGCTGTTGTTGTTGTTTTATTTAAAATGAGATAAGTAATTACATATTTCAGAACCGTTCACGATAGAATTATGAAATCGGCGGAATTTCGTAGGCATTCATAAACAATAGACCATAAAGAATAAAAATGGTAGTTTTAAAGACTTACCTGTAGAGCCTTAAGTATGGGCACTTTGTCGAGCAGTTCTTCGTAAAGCTTGCGCTTCTTGAAGGCGCTCTTGAGCAGGATGCGACGGAAGGTGTGCCTGTCCATGGCCCACAGGGCTCCAGGACTCTGCGCCCGCACTGACGCGGCCCGAGGCATGTTGTACATGAGGGCCAACTCCCCGAATGAGCCTGAGCCTTCGTATGTGTGTACCACCTGGATATATATAAGATATTTCAATGGGGAAAATATTATGCCTAATAAATGGGTCTCATTTTCTATAGGCCAGTTTTTGTACTCCAAAAAAATACTGTTTTCAGTTTGTAGTTTTAATTTAATGAGAATTAAACCTAAAATGTTCAACTAAAGAAATAAAAAACTAAGATTTTAAAATCACACACTCCTGGACCATTGAACAGATTTTTTTAATAAATATTTGTTACGAATAAAGGTGTAATTTTAAAAAGAGTAATAATAATATATGATAAATGAAAAAGCGAACCTAACATAGTAATAATAGGTCAATAAACATACCTTTTCAACTCCATCATCGCCCGTGACGAGTACGTCAAAGACCCCGTTTTCGATGACGTAAAAGTTATCGCCATCGTCCCCTTGTCGGATCACGTACTCGCCGGGCTCGGAGCGCTTTTCAAACATTGCGTCTAGCACCTAAAGGCAAGATAAAACTTTAGTCAGATAAGCAAATTAAAACAAGAATATTTTATAAAATTATTTTAACAACATAAACCAATATTGTCTTCCTTTCTTCCCTCCGATTAACCACAATTTAATAAAACGACTTTTATTTTAAACCAGCTGACTCTAGGTATACTAACTAAAAGGACTATTAGACATTCAACAAATCTTTACGCGAGGAAGAGTGTAAGAACGGCAGTTCAACATCAGACAGTTCATCCTGTAAAGCGAATCGGACGACAAATACACCTTATTAATTTAAAGACAAAAAATCAGATCTCTACAAAAACATCTTCCTCTTTCTGGCCTTGCAGCCTCGGAAAGACATTAGGTATTAAAGAGATACGCAGTGAAATATTTTTTTAAACCCCGTCGTGCATTACAAATTATTGTATGAAATTAACAAATTGCGTTTACTCTGGTATAATCATGCTTGTTTTAGGAGGGAACGTAACGGGAGGGCGCACGAGTGCACTTATCATCATAAGCACATTTCCTTTTAATGTTTGATCTGATTAAATCCGGTGATATTTAATTTTAGCTATAAAAATATGACTGTCAAAGAATAATTACTGTCATGAACCCAATTGAGATTGGATAACTATTTAAATATTAGGATTCTACGCTTTTGTTATTTGTTTATTACCTGAACGTAAGATATACAACGAATCGATAATCACCCCTGCGATTCTTTAATGTCGGTTCAAAATACGCAAAGCCAGAACATAATCTGACCTGTCATAAAACGTATCCTAAGTATAATTTAAATAAGCTCATTTAAACCCAGGTTAATTTGACGAAACCCCAGTCTTAAACTATCATTTGACCTTTAGAGGTGGGACCTTTTAATAGCCATATTCGTTGATTACGTTGAAGATCAAAAGTTACCAAGGGGGCAAAGTTAATTTGAAATTAAGTGAGAGTTGAGATTGACGTTTTTTATTTACATTGGAATAATAAATTGATGATTTCTATCTTAAATAAAGGCCGCTGTGCAAATTTCACAGCATTGTTCACACTAAACACTGGTGCTATTTTTCTTTTCCACGCATTTCATCAAAACTACATTTGCTGTAAGTAAATAGATTGATTAACGCCCCATCCCCGGGCCTAGGTTAAAAGAAGTACATGAGAAATAAATTAAATAATAAAAACTTAAAAAGTGAAATATACCACGCCATCGTCGTACGCTGTTATTGCATTAGAGTCCATCTACCTTCGCAAACGTATTCCAAACGGGTCCATGGATACTATTTGCCGTATCTCGAGGCAAGCTGTTATAAAGACTCGCTCCGAAAGGTTGGTTAGGTCGATGTATATGATTAGTGTTATGCCGGCTACGTGTGGGATAGTTAAATTTAATGCTGGTGTGTATAGGTTCGGGCCTTCCTATATATTTCTAGACGAAACGCATCTCATCATATATCATCAGGGTTCTGCCCTATTATAAAGAAGGTATTCTAAAGCGCAATACTTCTCATTATTTTATGTATGTCTTACCTGCTGCATCTGTTGAGCATCGAGAGAGCGGAATAGAAGAATTCCGCGCACGGCTTCAGCGAGACGTGCCCGTTGAGCATCGGACTTGGGGAACACTGCCGGAGCACCCTCATCAGAGTCATCTTCTTCGGGATCATATGTTTCAGCAAAAACGGACTTGCGTCGATTGTTGAAGCGCGCCACGGGCGGCTCTATTAACAAATTCAGTTATTGAATAATAATTTACCAGAACTAGGCCAAAGGTAAGTTTATAGATAGTTACATTAGAGCCGAAATTAAAAAAAAAAAGTAGTGTTAATAGTGTTAGCTATGAGTCGTAGTATTCAATTGAAGCGCGCAAATCGACGTATAATATAACGTACGGTCGAACTGCATTATAACCAAAATAAATACTCGAGAATAGCCGCACAGTATAGCGCCATTATTTTTAGCGCTGGTAATAAACTAGCCGGGTAATTATTCTAAATTCAAAATTTAATTCATTGGAGTTAGTTCTCAAGATTATGATGTAAATTTTCTTATTTACCATTTAAAATCTGAAAACTAACCTTGACCTTTGTAAATATATATATGTATTATACTAACATAGCGATTAAGATGTACTGAGACGTGATGTAATAGTAAGCCAAGTATATGCTAAAGCTGATTAATCACAACCAACAATACAATTCAAAATTTACCGAAACATTTGATGAGTGATCAGATTGAATTTAAAAATAATATCACTGGAAATTCCAATTAAGGCTAGTTTTAAAATAGTACCAGACTTTTTATGACCGTTATGTAAGTGATCTAGTATGTAACCAGTTTTAATAGTCGTTTAAAACAAGAACAAACTAATAGTACTAGTTTATTTAATCCTACGTATGGCATGTGTGTTGTAAATAATAAAATAAATATTGATTTCTAAAAAAATTTGCAACTTTTAGACAGGTGTAGTAGGTCGTTAGGTAATGAAAATATAGCCATATTACAATATTTCTAACTAAATATATTTAAAATATGTGTTTGAATGGTTCTAAGATTTTTTAAACTCTAGACTTAGCAACATCTTAAGACTTGCTAGTACTGTCAGATGTTTTATTTATAAAACAGAATGGTAGAGGTATCTTGCAAACAAATTTCAATTGCAGTTAAATTAACCAATAAAAAACAATTTAAAAATAAAATAATTAAGAGCAAACACATTAATATAAAAACATATCATGACCCTAACTCAAGAAATAAGCCAGACCTTCTAAATTACAAAACTTCAAAGGGTTAGAAACAAACACACAAATTAGATCAGTGAACTGTAAACATAAAAAATTTATGCTCCATAAATCATTTCACAGATGGTACAAAGAAAACTGAAAGTTTTGCTTTTATTCTACTTTAGATTCATTAAATTGTTTTCCTAATTAGACGATGAAGAGCAAAAAAGATTTTTTAGCTATAATTACAATTAAGGAATTTATAAATAGTAGAATAATTTTACCATTCAGTGAAAATATGACTGTGGCAGAATGCCAAACATTGAAAGAGTTCACTATGCCTAACAATTATAGTAACAACTTTGTAAATAATTTTAACAGCTGTTATCTTGCTACTTTTATGTGAATTTTACTGCTTGTAAAGATTAACAATAAATTACGGACCACAATATCATCACATTCCTTTTTTTATAGTTGCTTATGTGATGACCGTGTTAATAAAAAAATTGTAGTGCTTATCTTTGGATATTGCATAATTTTGTTTCAAGAATTGATCTAACTAATAAAGCACTCTAATGGCAGTGTCCAAGAGATCAACTGAATTCTGTAGGCAAACCCTAACCATCTAAATGCTGCATCTATATACATATAAGGTTAATAGTCAGAATATCGTTCAAAAAAGACATATATGGACATACAAAACACCTAAATCACTGACTTTTCCTATGCGCCTATTAAGTTTAGTTTCTGATCTATAAGTCATCTCTTTACATTTGTTATAGGTAACATTGAGTTTATTTAATTCACTCCCATAAAGCAGTTCATCCAAATCCAGTTGCAGACATAGACTGTCATTGTATGTCCTAATTTCCTAAAAAACCTTAAAACCACAAAACATGTCTACTATACAGTAACACACTATACACACTAACATCCAATAGATGTTAGTGTATATATGTAAGTAACTATATTTGTTTTAAAAGACCTATGTGGTATAACAACTATCAATGTAACGGTAAGATGAAATATATGTACCTAAATGTATATTTTAAAGATTTAATAGGAATTCGATTCCTTTTTCATGTTTTAAGCAATTTTTTAATTATAATTTTCTAAATTCAACTAAATGTAAATGAATAACACAGACATGTATTTTTGTAATAAAATAATCATATAGTGGGCCATAATTTATTAATTAAAGTAATATTTAAATAATGTTATGATTGTATGTATCCCAAAACTAAATAATGCATACCTACTTCAATAAATTGCTATTATAATATTAGTTAATAACAGATTCAAGGATATGGCAATATGCCTAAAATTGCTTTTCGATTCAAAATGTAAGTTAACTGACAACTGAGTTGTGACGAAAGATATTTTTAAGTGATGGATGGATTATATTGCTAATTTATTTTATAAATATTAGCTGACTGTTAAAGTAAGCAAATATTCCAAAAAAGTTTGGAATCTATTAGATAATAGCTTTTTATAAATATCTAAAATTAATGTAGATAGTTTATAATACTTATTTGTCAGGTATATGGAGTGTTTTACAGTCTTTCTATCAGTTTCCACAAGAAAATCGTGAAAAATAATGAAATTCGAAAATATTACCTTCTTCATCTGATATTATAGACTCATCGGGTGTGCCCGCTGAAGGGCCACGGACTATGGTTGTGGTCCGATTGTTTTGTAACCTAGTGAAGAATTCGACTGCGTAGTTGATAACATCCCCTGGCTGTTCCAACAGGTAACTTATAGTGAATTCCAACAAGATTTCTCGTAGGTCATCTGGGA